ATATATATATATATATATATGGATAAGAGAACGGACGAGTCATATCGCAATGAATTCACGATGAGGTGAACACTCTTGTTTCCCTTCTTACGAAATATATTTCGATGATAGATCGGTGTACTACTGGCACTTTACTTTCCATCTTTATTGTATTGAGAAAGGAATTTTTATTATATTCCAAATACTATTATTATTTTTATTGCTTCATTTGCTATTTTATTAATTGTCCCGATCGAGAGATGCTATTACCGTCATTATAACTTAGTTTTTTTTTCTCATCAAACACCTACTATCTGATTTAACTTTATCAAATATCCTAAAATCTGTTCAAAACTTGATAATTTTTTATGTATGTAGAAAAAGCTCTAATTAAAAAATTAATTTTAACCACTATAAAAGTACAAAAAATTTTAATTGGAATGTTTATGACTGATTGCTATAAAGAATTTTTTCCTAACTTATTATTTTTTTGTGAGAAGTATGTTATAATGTAATACAACGTTACATTGGTAATTGTTTGAGCAATTTTCCCATGGACGATATATATATATAAAAAAAAAATAAAATAAAATACAAAAGTGCCACTTGACTTTTCTTCAATAAAGACGGCCGTGCCCGAGTAACAATGGCCGTTGTATTGGGCCTTCGGCAATTCGTGAAAGGCTCAGTGCAATCTGCGTGACTGCGTCGCGTTTTATTCCTTAAATGCCATGTATTCTGCGATTACAACCACGTGGATTATTCACATTCATATCTATATCTACAATATATTATTAAATTATATATCATATTATATTATATTATATTATACACTTTCCGATCCGAGATCTGACGAAACAGGATTATAAAGATTTTTTTTTTTCATCTTCTGCATTATTCATTATAAGTACATAATAAGTATTTACCATTGTAATGAATTTTATATAAATATAAAAATATTCAAAGTAAATGTTAATGTTACTTAAAAAAAAAAAAAAAAACACGAGAGAATAGCAATTAGCGTAGATTAAAACCCGCATAATGATGAATTTTCTGCAATTACAAAGTGCGGGAACCATGAACCACCAGTCCCACTAAATAAAACCGGTAATTGAATACAGATTAGTTTTTGGTTTCTATATTGTAACACGATACATGATACCGAAATAATTTGTTAAAAAATAAATTTATTCTCTGGTCTAATCTAATAATACTTATAAAATTATAAATCTGTTGCGAGAGTTGCAAGGATAAATTTATTTATTATTTTTTATCAGCTCCGTTCACCGTCAATAGAATAAGAGAAGGTGGAAAATTAAGTAAAGGGTATAGAGGGTTTCATACAATGGTCTAGAGACAGTGCTACGTATTCGAGAGGGATATATATATATATATTGATATGATATTGCGCAACAATGCTTCGCCACCTGCACTCATTTCGTCACAAATATATAAGCTAACTGGTGGCTTTAATCGCGTATATTACCAGTGTGGTGGTAGCTTGTATTACTTTCGCCAATTAAATTTATACTGTATCTATAATCTATGATATGAAAGATGTTACTTTATATTTAAAGATATATTTAACACAACTTTATACTGCCTCGAGAAATTATTTTATTTAAAAAAAATTTTTTACTCATATATTGTATCTAAAGATTTAAGTAGTAAGATTTTTTTTTTTTGAGAAAAATACCATCTTAACAGTTAATTTAAAATATATATAATTTATAAATATTAAAATGACAGATTCAAGTGTCATTTGGATAATGGTGAAACCGATGAGTCTGTCTTATTACATAATCTCAGATAAGTCATACATCCCACACTGGGGTTTTATATATTTTGTATCTTGTAACGAGAGTAAAAGTATTGTAATAAAAATCTAGATGAATTGATGAGCAAATAGAGACGTATGTCGGTCACGGAATTTTCTACATACGAATCAATGATGTTACGATATACTCACTATATTATAATTATTATTATTTATCCTCACAATCAGGCGACTCACGTGTATCTACACATACCATCAATTTTTTATTTTTAATTAGATATGATAAAAATTTTTATTTCATAAAAAAGGAACTTTAATTTGACCATGAGCAACTAAATTTCACTAAAATGATTAAGTTAAAATTTAAAACCTTAAATTTGTGAAGTAAAAAATCTCCTAATTGCACAAAGTTATTTTATTATAAATACCAAGAGATAATAGTACACAACAATGACCTCTTACAGAAGATCATCGCTTATTTCCCTAAAACTAGTCCTGTCCAACCTGGTGATATTACTAGCCTTGCCATGTCTCCCTAGACCATCAACAAACTTTTTAGCCCCGTGAATGCCATCTTCAAGCAGAATATCCGTGGAGTTGTCCTTTTCGAACTCAAGAGCCTCCTCTATAGATTTGGCGCCTAGCGATGCGAAATGTAACGACGTACGATCGGCGAGTAATGCGCGCTGCGGATATTTTATTATCGTCTGAGCCATAGATACACTTTGTCCCAGTCCTGATATCGGTTGTCATTGCATATAATTGACAGAGAGCATTATAATTTTTATTTCAATTTAAATGATTTAAATTTTTATGAAAAGAACTCACCAGCACCGCAGGCAACAAGACGGTTCGCGATTCCCCACTGGAAGGCTTCTTGTCCGGTGATTTCTCTACCGCTGAGGATCATGTCCATGGCTCGTGAATATCCGATCATTGCTGGTAATCTTACAGTTCCTCCGCACATTATTGGTATTCCAAAGCGCCGGTTCAGGAAACCCATCCGCGAGTGTTCCTCGACGATCCGTAAATCGCACATGAGAGCAAGCTCTAAGCCTACGCCTACTGCGTACCCATTTATTGCGGCAATCAGCGGTTTTTTTGACAGCTCGCTCTTGCTACTCTGTAAGTAGATAGAAAATATTACTTAATAATGAATAATAAATAAAGATATTGAAATTAGCAGAAATCTATTTTTTTTTTTTTAGGTCTGATTAGTATTTATAAATTATCATGAAAAAAAAATTTAATCATAGTTTATCATTTCTACATCTAAAATATTTTAAAGTTTTTGTATAATAATTTATTTATCATAAAAAAATTTTTTATAATTTGTAAAAATTAATAAAAAATTTTGTTATAACCAAAAATATGAGCTCACAATTTCTAAATGCAAAATATTTGAAAGTTTTTTTACAACAATTTATTTACTAAAAAATTCTGGGATATCTGCTGATTTGTGACAACAAAATTAAAAGGCATTTGATAATTATATGATTTTTTTTTTCAAAAATAAATTAGAATAAAAAATTTATAAAATAAAATTCAATATATAGAAATTAAAAAAAAAACTGTAATGCTATTTTTTTAAAACAAATTAATTTGTTGAACAAAATCAAAAAGTTATAAATTTTTTACTAATTTCAGGATCATGTCAATTCTTTATATCATAACTGGCTGGCCCGGTGAACTTTGTATCACCTACAATATATTTTGTTACACCTTTCGATCAGCGATTATCAATCTTTAAACTCTAATCTACTTCGATAAAGAATAAATACTGGCTGTATGAAGTGCAGTTAGAATTTTGTCAAGTTGTTTAATGAAATTCGCGTCTTATTATTGCCTGAAAATCAAGATCGATCAATCACATAATTTTGCAATATAAAGTATAAATCATCTTCGTATTCAAAAAATAGTCTAATTACGCCATAAATGTTGAAATTGCTTACTGTTATAATTTGTACATTATGGGAATTAGCTTTGATTTCTTTATATATGTCAGAAGTATAAGTTTCTTTGTTTATTTTTACTCGAGCATATATATGCACATTTTCTTTTATAATATTTCGAGAGTCAAGTAGTTGATTTTCTAAATCACTCAAAGTAATGTTGTCAATTTTTTGTCCCAATGTCTCATAATTTTTGGCTGGTTCAGTAATTTTACAATTGTCATTATTTTGATCCAAATAATTTTTCAATATACCAACGCCTTGTGCAATTACTATTTGAGTAGCTATTTCTTCAGATAAACTTTTCGTACCATGAACTTTTTTTGCGATAAATCCATTATAATTTTCAAAAGTGAAAGCTGATGAACCTGACAGAGGGCCCCATCGTTTCACTGATAAAACAAGATGAAGAAGCTGATGTACATTGTATGTCAACTCTTTATCATCAAATAAATCCGGAATGTCTTTAACGAACATTCGTAATAATTTATCCGCTTCTTCTAAATTTTCTACTGTGATATAATCCATCAACAAAATAAATATAGCAATAACTAAACCCATCAAGTGCTGAAAGTATTTTTCTAATAAAAAATCTTTTAGAGCTGGAAGACAATAAAATAGTAATAAATTATAAAACTCAGAAGCCTTAAAAAGATTAGATTCAGATAATGATCGCGGCATTCGGTTAAAAGACAAAGGAGGTCGAATATTTAATATGAATTCATTAATATTTTTCATAAAAGGTTTGATACTCCATGGACCCGGTTTGTTGGTGTAAGTATCAAATAGTCGCCTTGTCACTCCCAATAGAACTGAATGCATGAATTCAGGTATCAAACATGTACCAAGGTCAAGTAGCGGAAAGCAAGATAATATAGAATATCCTTTTACTCCCCTTAGATGTTTCTTATTTAACCTTTTTAAAGCACGAGCTTGAGAGATCATTCTTTTTCCATCTCGTAGTCTAGTGTCAACATCATAGGGATATATTCTACTTGCTCTTTTGCCCGATACAATGGTTTGGCTTTTTTTTGTTCTTATCTCGCAAATATTGCAGCCATACCGTCCATTGAAATTGAATATATTTTGAAGTTTAGCTCGAGCCGGAGCATCAGCTATGATTAATGAAGGTACTATTTTGGAGGTTATTACCTCATTTGTAATTGGATGATTCCATTTTACTCCATTTTTGAAACATTCATCAAGCTTAGATTGCAGAGGCCGTAAAAATGTACCTATTGATGGTTTGAATTCTTTGCTATACCACAGACCTAAATTTAATACAAATGACTCTCTGATAGTGACTGGTAACTCAGCTATCGTACACAACAGCGGCCAACAATGGCTTTTAGCACTTTTGATTAGAGAAATTCCATCGGTATTTATTATCAGTGTCAAATCAAACTTTTGCCTATCACTGCGAGAATTAATCCGAATATACTCAGAGCCATCAGTAATATCAGTAATCACATTGTCATTTCGTATGACTAAAGGTTTCAATTTGTTATAAAGATGGTAATGCTCAAATAAATATTTAATTTGAGTGCATATGTCAAATTCGAAAAAAAAAGTATCTTTACATTTTTTAGCATCACATGTTGGACATTTTAAAATTTCGATGTTGTTCCCAATGTACTCAAAACAATTTTTACAATAATAATGTCTTGTGACAGTGCATGGAGGCGCGATTTGCTTAACATGTTGGAGTAATCTGTACACAGTTTTTGGCATCAAATTATTTTCTGGTAGTACCTTTAGTTGTATTTTCAGAGCTTCTTTAAGAGCTGCTTTAGTTAGATCATGTTTGACATATAAATTTAATAAATCGAAGACTGCCTCGTTAATTGTAATTTTACTGCCTTCATACAACATGATATTCGATCTGTTAGCAAGATTACATAAATTGTTTATAGCATTTTGAGCTCCAATGTTAGCATTGATATTATCGTTATCTTCCCTTTCATTTAAGTCAAGCTGGTCATAATTATCATTTTCTAATTCGTTGTTGTCGTTGTTGTCACAATCTTCTTCAGCACTGTTGACGATAATTTCTTCATCTGAAGAGTCTGATGAATCTTGAGGGTTTTTTGATCTTGAAGTCGACTCATTCTCAGAATCTTCACTTAATTCACTTTCATAATCTATGATATTATCTGTATTAGAGAAATTATTATCTTCACTTGAAGTCACCTCGTTGCTTGTTTCGTTTGTGTTATTATCTCGAATAGATTTATTCCATCTATCTAACGTTCTTAAAGGTATCTAGAAAAATTATAATTTAAATTATTATTATCATATGATATCTAAATAAATATATTTTCTTTTAATTGAAACAATTAACTTACCGGACAAGTCGAGTCTTTAATGTATAGTTTGTATCTTTTTCTTGGTCTAGCCACCGGTGACTGCTCTTGATTTGTTGGTATTGATGACATGATAACTCTCACACAAAATTAAATTTTTACATCTAGAAAAGACAGTTAATGTTATTTATTATAATTATATTTATACGTTTAGATAATAAGACGGAGTAACAATTTAGCTTCAATTAATTATGAAAAAAAATATCGTGTATTCGGTATCTCCTCCATGATGCCGAATATAATACAAGAATTCTCATAACAGACTCCATATAGTAAAAGAGAAAATAAATATATTTTGATCAAAACACATTTATAATTAAGATTTGAAATAAAATTTTTTGATAAATGTGACACAAACAATAGCAGACATGTATCTGATATTACTTTTGTTAACGTTACGTTAACTTTCAACTAACCTCAACGTACTAATTTTCATAAATTTTTCCATCCTCAACCTAGCAAATATCTGATAACTCATTTAGGTTCTTACAAAATAATTGTTATCAATTTTTTTTTTAATCCAACTACTGAAAATTTACAAAAACAATGAATTCAATTCTATTTAAGTGTTCTTGTATAGTTTTCATTTATTCTTGACATGATGCCAAAAATCAGCCAGGTTACTGTTCTTTTCAGTCTTATATTTTTTAACACCTAAATTAATTATAACTTAAGTAATAAAATTACGGACTGATTTTAATGACATTCTTGAGATTTCATATATATTTTATTTATGGCTAAGATAAATGTAAATATACATATACATACGAGTATATATTTTTTGACTTACCGAACTGTAAAAAAATAATTCAATTTAGTAACTTGTAGATTATAATTGCAAATAATATTTTTTCTATACGTTTATTTTCTTGATTTTGTTTAATTAATGTTGTTGTTCGTATCATACGTAATATGACAGCTTTATTATTATTATTACCATATAAACACTGCGACATCTATTGTTTAGATGTATAATATTTTCACATGGGTGTACGCTTGATGCACCTACACCCTACACACACTCAATCAAGTTCAGTGTCCAGTGACGAGTGAAGAGGGAGATTTGGCGGTCGTTTGTTTTGTTAAGAAGAGAGATTACACGCAGAATAATTATATGATTAATATTTCATTAAAATTTCTTTCTTGATAAGCTATAAATCACTGCATACCTTTGTTAAAGAATTTTTTAAAACTGAAACATAAAAATGTTTTTAATTTATTGCGAAAAAGATAACTCATATTGTAAGGTTAAAGATTTGAAGGTTAAATTTGACGCGGAAAATTCATACCCTTAAAAGAAGATAGAAATGAGAATAATTAAATGACCTTATAAAAAAATGACTTTACATAAAAGGGTTATGACAGTCAGAACAAAAATAGATTTTTTTTGCATTTTTTCAGAGTATATATAATAATAATTCTGTATCGATTTGTAAAAAATGAGATTGTTACATCATACAGTTTTGGAAATATTTAATTTTAAAGTTAGAATTTTTTTAGAGGTTATACATTGCACTATAGGAGAAAAGAATAAAATTTTCTAGTACTTGAGTATAACTCAAAAACTTTACGTAATACTTCCATAAAAACTAAACTAACACTAAACAAAAACTATTAATTTGTTTGAAAAAAGGTTTCATTTATGGTGACCATATAAATTTTTAAATATTATTAAAAAATGAGTACAATATTCGAAAATAGTCATGAGTAAAAGGGTATAAGGAATAGTAATGTAATTAATATTTTCTTTATCTATCTTCTTGTCACAAAAATTTGTAAACTTAATTGACATAATTTTTAGTTAATTTAAGTGAAGCTATTTTTTGTTTACTGATAGTAAAAACAGTAATAATTGATACTTATCTCTAAAAAAATTTATTATTAACGATAATAAAACAAATAGTTTGAAAAGACTCCTCGAGATAAAAAATGCATGGTTGGAAAACAGCATTATTTCTTTCCAGCATATAGTAGGTTTCAAATCCGAACGAAAGCCTCAAAATCCTCATTGAGGAATATGAGGATCAAATGAGAATTCCAATATGTTTAAAGTATGTACAGTTATCATCAGAACAACTACATGCGTAGTATAGAGTAGTCGGTTAGGTTTAGGCTTAGAGAGCGTAGGGTTCCGTGTTCGAGTCCGAGCGTCGTACGATTTTAGATTAATATAATTTCGATACATAGTAGGTAGGGAAACAAGAAAGGTAAACGTGTTAAGTATATGAAACGATAATCTGAACACCCAAATTGAAACAAAAATCCCAAAAAAAAAAAATTTTTTTGGTTTCAATTTGGCTAATTTGTTTTGATGGAATTAATTACTAAAATGTCATATGACAACTTGTACCACTGCCAAAAAATTTTACACCTCGATCACTTTGAATTTATTTTATCAAATAAAACCATTTGTTTATTTAAAAAATGCAGGGAGAATTTAAAAAACAATAGTGCCATATTCATTTAAAATTTTTAATAGTAAAATTATTGAAGAATATTGTGAGGGGCCATTCATTAATTACGTAAGGGTTATTGAGGGTGAGGGGGGGTTAAGAAAATCTCTACAAGTTCTTACGTTGGGAGGAGGGGGGGGGGTAAAATTCATTCTTACGTAATATTTCGTGAATCAAAATTCAAGATTAAAGGCGGAACGCTCAGGAGGAACACAAAAGCGGAACGGTCTGTCAGAACGCGACATTTTTTCGTGAGCGCTGTCGGTGTTCATCAATTTATAAGACGTTATCACGCCAAAAAAATTTTCTTTTTTTCTATTTGGCTAATTTATTTTGATGAAATTAATTAGTAAAATGTTATATGACAACTTGTACCACTGCCAAAAAATTTTACACCTCGATCACTTTGAATTTATTTTATCAGATAAAACCATTTGTTTATTTAAAAAATGCAGGGAGGATTTAAAAAACAATAGTGCCATATTCATTTAAGATTTTTAATAGTAAAATTATTGAAGAATATTGTGAGGGTTTTGAGGTTCAAACGTGAATTCTGAAGTTCTATTTTTACCCTCAAAGTTGTAAAACCGTCCGTAAGTAGGATTTTGAGGTTCAAATCGTGACTACTTTCCATATTGAAATCTATCTTGAAAAACCTCACTGAGGATTTTGAGGCTCAAATTGGAATTTATATTTTGACTCGGGCTAAATCGTAAAAAAAATTAATAAGCAGGCTGCCAAAAATTTGTTATAGTCTCAGAACGATCCTGTAGAGTTGTGAGAGATAAATAACGTTTAGCTCTCAGAGCTCAACGATGTAGAGTTACAGGAGCCATACGGTATTGTTACCATAAGAATACGTTAACCTACTGGAACTTTTTACAACTAACTAACTACTATAGAATTCCTATATCAAAATTTTTTTCTCCGTATATAATAACGTTTATTGCAAAATACCAAATTCTATCACAGCTCATAATTATCGTTTATATTTTTAAATATTAAACGTTAATTAATTTAGTTTAAATAAGTTATAGAGTTACGTTTAAATAAAAACGTTAATTTATTTAGTGAATTGAATTATTATCATGTATTCCAGCTAAGGTAAAAGACCCCATTAGTGGCACCTTTAACCCTTATTAGTGGCACTTTTTCTTTCAATGAAAAAATGTTCTACTTGGAATAAAAGTTAAAAATTTTTTTGATCTAAAGGTCTTAAAGATTAGAAATAATATATTCATTATTGAAATTAATGATTTCATTAATTGAATAAGTATCAAAGAAAGAAATCAAAGAAAGTGTCAGTAATGGGGTCCCCGCAACTAATGAGGTCTTTTACCTTATAGGGTTATAAAAAGTGTCAAAAAAAATTGCTATTTTTGCTTTTTATTTTAAATAAATATTTGTTAACAGTTAACAAATATTCATTGACCATTAACAAATATTTATTAACAGTTGATAAAGCTTATTAAATATAAACAAACCCTTTTATCAGTGTATTATATTACGGCAAACTGAATTGAAGCAAAATTTTTAGTAAATAATCACAATAAAAACTCAACAGCATTTGAATCAGTCTTTCAAGACCGGACCTTTTTTATTAGTATAAGAATTCGATGAACTGGGTCCGTATTTCATATCAGTGGCCTAGTTTACGTATTTTTTTTTTTAATTGAATATTTATTTAAATTTACTACTATACAACCGTACAAAGACAAACGAACTTTTCTTATTTGTCACGTGAAAACTATAGCGCCACTTGATCAAGCTAGATTTTTTTAGACTGCGTACGCATACGACAAGAAAAAAGGACGCCGATATTTAAAAAAAAATAAAAAATACTCTGTAAGAAATTACTTAATTATAATTTTTTTTTCTTTAATCAATTACACAATTAATTTTTTTCTTAAAAAATGAATGAGCGTTATGAGGCGTGCACTTTTGGATTTTCCAAACTTTTATTAGATTATACCACGTATTACTAGAGATTAAAATCAAATGTTCACAATGAATATCAGAGATACAGACAAATCATAAGAAACCTTTTTTTTAGGAAATTTAATTTTCTACAAAAAAGTTTTTACCACTTTTTCATTTTGACTAAACGATATGCTGTAATTAACAATATATAATGGTTATTTTACAACTCATTCATTTATAGTAACAAAATCTACGTAACTTTGAAACTGAATTAGAGATGCGTGCGCATCTTGACTCTACGTAAAAAATACTCAGGGGAAATAAAAAAGTAACGTTTGTTATTGTTTTAATTTAAAGTGAGTATTAATTTATTCAAGACTGTCAAGAGTATATTTAATAACTGTGGTAAGAAATAAAAGATTAAGTTATCATTATTGTTAAAATTTAACGGTTAATAGTTGACTATGTTGCTTAGATAAAATTATTTTTTTCAAGTTGAGATTATAACCTAACAATTTGACGAACTTAATTTATAATAAATACTAGCTGTTACTTGCCCGCTCCGCTGGGCGCTTTATAGAATTGAATTTTTAGATCTAAACTTGAAATTTAATTAGAGTATTGTTTTGACTTGCACAGATTCTCAATTCTATGGAATTGGCACGCACCTTTTATCCATGTTATTATTTTAGCTAATAT